AGAAGAGGAGGAGGAGGAGGAGGAGGAGGAGGAGCAGGAGCAGGGGGAGGAGGAGGGGGAGGAGACTCCCCGCGGCGCGCGTGAGGCTGGGGCGCGGGGGAGAAGCGCGCGCCGCCCTCTGCCCGAGGGCCCCGCTCCCCTCCGCTGACCCCGTGTCCTCCGCATTCCTTTGGCGTTCTCGTGCGCGGAGGAGGAGGGGGAGGAGGAGGAGGAGGAGGAGGACGAGGAGGGGGAGGAGGAGGAGGAGGAGGAGGAGGAGGAGGAGGAGGCGGAGGAGGATGTGGAGGAGGAGGAGGAGGAGGAAGAGGAGGGGGAGGGAGAGGAGGCCGCTGGATCTTCAGGACCACCCCCAGTGGTGGGAGCTAGTTCTTCCCGACCATCCTGTGGAAGTGGGTGCTCGTTTTGAAGAGACAGCGCCCCGCGACTCCTCCTCTGGTCTCCTCTCCTCCTCCCCTTCCTCCCTCCTCCCCCTCCCCTCCCCTGCCCTCCGCATGCGTCTGCGTCGGCACACCCCAATGGTGGAAACTAGTTATATGTTCGGCGACCTTGTTGGCGGACTGAGGCCCCACCAGGAGGAGACTGACCAACGCCTTCGGCGAAGAATGTGTCGATCTAGACTGCAAGCCTCTTAGGAATGTGCTCGAATTTCCTCAGTTGCGCAGGGTAGCCCACAGAGTGTTACTCATTGGAACAATCCCGCCCGCCCAACAGAAGAGGGAAACAACCTCCACCGCGACGACGCCGACGACCACAACCAGACGACAATGACGACTACAACCACGACTACTATCACGACAACAATCACGATTGCAACCACAACAACCGATTATGTGTGCAACCCTCGTGGCAAATCCTCTCGCGTGTAAGGTACCCCACTATGAATTGATCCCTCGGAAAGAGAACCCTCCAACATAATACAGCCCGCCCAACAATAGAGGCACAAGAATAACCGCCGCGACGACGACGACGGCTACGATAACGACCCCGAGGGAAGTCAACAGGAGGACGAAGACCAGTGTAAACCCAAGATTCATACGATGTTGGAGCAGGAGGACGGGGGAGGAGGAAATCGAAACACATACTGAAGCATTGGGCGGAAGTGCCCACTTTCTTTTTCAAGCTCAATTGGTGCCGATGTTCGCCCTACGTTGCCGTCGGTGTTTCCGCCGTACCTGCTGCAGAAGTATCCACTTCACGATTCCTGAGGCCGACATGTCCGCCCCACTTGTTCGCACCGATTGGAACCATTCCCGCCACAATTCTAATTCTAAGTGAATCAACCAAGACACGGCGGTTCCGTCGGTGTTTCCGCCGTACCTGCTGCAGAAGTATCCACTTCACGATTCCTGAGGCCGACATGTCCGCCCCACTTGTTCGCACCGATTGGAACCATTCCCGCCACAATTCTAATTCTAAGTGAATCAACCAAGACACGGCGGTTCCGAAGTCGGGGACGGCCGTGGGCAGCCAAAGCATCGAGGATCGAAGATCGAGGGCTTCACTGATCGAGGGTTGTCTCGTCGCCACAGCTGGATCCGCGTCGGGAAACGGGCCAGGATGGAGCCCGACAAGGCCCGGGCACCTCCAGGCAGATGGCCACGGACACCAGCACCCAAAACAGCAGCAGCACGACGTGCGCCCGCGCGGTCTCGGGCAGGTGCTGCAGCACGGCGACGTCCATCGAAACCTGAGAACCGTCTACACCATCCCAAATCCCCGCTGGCACTGCCTTGGCCCCACTGACCGACTTGCCCCCCTGAGTGGAAATAGCGTCAGCTTGTGATTATCAAAGACACGGAGAGCGCGCGATTAACAAATTGTCCCCATGTTCGGGCACATCGTAGGAGGGGGGGGGGGCGCGCCCACCAAATTGAAACACGCGGCGGCGGGGCCGATGATTAGCGCCGATACCCGGCCGCCGGCGAGAGGGCGACAGGCGCGAGGCAAGCGGCGCCGACTCAGCAAGGGGGACAGCAGCGCCTCGGCTATAGCAGGGCGCTTGCCAAAATGGCTACAGACAGAAACAGGAGGCGGGGGGAAGAGGCGCCTCAGCTGGCGGGCGGTGCCGACATCGCTGCGCACAAGAGGGGCAAGAGGAGGGGATGAGCGGCAGAGGCAGGCGGAAAGGGCTCCTCCTTTTCCTTCTCCACCAATCACCCCCCCTTCACTACAATATGTCCTGCAACGACGACGACGACGACGACGACGACGACGACGACAACTGTGGCTCATCAGCATTGAGCCTGAGAGGAAAAGAGCTTCGCCTCAGATGTACACGATCCCTAAAACAACTTATGTACGAAACGTAATCGTTTAGAGGTTGCCTTGCCTCGCAAGGGGGGTACACGATGCACTCGGCGGAGCCCGCGACGAACCCCTGGGGCGAGAAAATTTGAAAAAATTGCCCCCCGCGGGGTCTATTCATCAGCCACAGGGGGCAGGGGGATCATTTTATAATCACAAGTTTCGAATTTCCTCGATGTCTCCTTCGATCGACGTTTCCTTCGATCGATGCTTCCTCAATAATCACCGGCTTCGAGCTTCCTCGATAACATCATCTGATGTTTCCTTCGAGCTCCGCGGGGCTTCTCCCACTGGCCCTCTGAGGATGGCATCGGCGCTAGGCACCCCCTGGCGGGGCCTCTGGCGCCCCTCCCTGGCGCGCTCCGCGCGCCAGGGAGGGGGGAACGATGCTGAAGACCAGCATCGCGAGGACCACACCTCAAGTAGGAGATCAAAATGCAGAATTGATCTACCCCGAAATTGATGTTTTTCGTCGAGTCGCCGAAGGAATGCGTAGCATTCCACGAACGTTCGACTTGTTCCTTCCTAGATGCGAAGAAAATCAATGTCGGGATAAATCAATTCTGTATTTGATCCCTTACTTGAATACCGAAGAGGTACCAATATCATGCGTCCCCATAATAGGGGGCAAGCCGGTCAGTGGGGCCAAAGCCATGCCAGTGGGGTTGGGGATTGGCCAAACGCTGCTGAAGACCAGCACCGCGAGGACTATGCCGAAGAAATACCAGTTCGCACGCTCTGGCACGCTGAAAGCCTCGGCCAAACTGGAAGCCGTTCTTGCATGTTTCGCGGTAGCGGCCGTTACTGACCCTGTCCGCCCCCCCCCCGCCCAGGAGCTGTCTTGGGCTACTCGTAGACATTCCCAGACGGCGCTGGCGCGAAACGTGACGTTACGGGACCTTTCCCCCCCCAGCCAGGGTCGGGCCGGGCCAAAGGGGGGGATAGCAAAGGGGGGGGGTTGAGAATCAGCTCGCGTAGCTGATTTTCCCGGCGCCTCCTGGCGCCAGGAGGCGGCCATGTATCGAGGAATGGGCCCGGCGGCGGGGCCGAAACCAGCTGCATGCAGCAGATGTCGTAACCACCCCTTTCCCTATCCCCCCCCTTCGTTCGGTCCGACAGGGGCGCCCGCTGTCGCCTGGGAAAAAAACCTCACGCGCTCTCTCCGCGGCCTCACAGCCCTCGCGGCTGCCATACTAGGGCCGCTCGGGCCGCCCTCCGCCCCCGGTGCACCAGTGCCAGAGGCGGGGGCCGAGGCCCTCCCGAGTTACCCGGCCCCCCCACGCGCTGGTTGGTTCACATATTGTTAAGTCGGGCGTGTCCCCCTACAGGGGGATTTTCGACGAAAAACAAAGAATACTCAAAAAATACTCCAAAACGGTAAAAAATGCTCAAAAAAATAGTTCCCAGAATAATTTTTTACTATTTTGAATATTCCCCCTGTAGAGGGACAGGCCAGACTTAAGCACCTTGTCCACCCCCCGAGGCCTCGACCCACTCCCCCCGGAACGGCTTCTCATCCCGCACCCTTTCCTCGACGGCCCCGAGGGCGGACCCCAGAAGCCTCCCGCACACCCCCATCCTCCTCCCCTCACACCTCCCACCGTCCTCCTCCTCCTCCTCCTCCTCCTCCACCTCCTCCTCCACCTCCTCCTCCTCCTCCTCCTCTCCTCCTCCTCCTCCTCCTCCTTTCCTCTCCTCCTCCTCCTCCTCCTCCTCCTCCTCCTCCTCCTCCTCCTCCTCCTCCTCCTCCTCCTTTTCCTCATCCTCCTCCTCCTCCTCCCTCCTCCTCCTCCCCTCCTCCTCCTCCTCCTCCTCCTCCTCCCATCCTCCTCCTCACTCCTCTCTCCTCCTCCTCCTCCTCCTCCTCCTCCTCCTCCTCCTCCTCTCCTCCTCCTCCTCCTCCTCCTCCTCCTCCTCCTCCTCCTCCTCCTCCTCCTCCTCCTCCTCCTCCTCCCCACCTCCTCCTCCTCCTCCTCCTCCTCCTCCTCCTCCTCCTCCTCCTCCTCCTCCTCCTCCTCCTCCTCCTCCTCCTCCTCCTCCTCCTCCCCCGGGACCGGCTTCTCATCCCGCACCGTTTCCATGACGGCCCCGAGGGCGCGGACCCCAAGAGCCTCCCGCCGTGATGCTTTGATGCCTCAGGGGTGAGGGGCAACGATAGGGGGGGGACTGGCATAGGGGGGGGGGATGCATCGACCTGGAATCGGCGTTGCATCGCCGATAGATCGGCGGCGATAGGCCTCCGATAGTGAATCCGCACCTTGCTGGGCAGGTTGGGGCTATCGGGCCCCTATCGGCAATCAGTGGGCGATAGGGGGTCGATGCATCCCCCCATATGCCGATCCCCCCCTATCGTTGCCCCTGAAAGGGGGCCTGGGCCCGCCGCCCCCCCCCTCCGGGTAACGCCCGCTCTCGCCCAGGGAACCCAACAAAAATTATGCTAACGGAGTTCCCCACATAAAGATATTAACGGTTTCCTCCTCGCTCAGGCGGGGCCTCCCTGGAGGGGGTGGGAAGGGCACGAAAGCATGCAAATAGTATTGGTTTCCGATACCCTCCTCGCTCAGGCGGGGCCTCCCTGGAGGGGTGGGAGGGGCACGAAACGGGAGGCGGGAGGGAGAAGGAGAGGATGTTCTGGGAAAACAAAAACCCCACTCAGGATGTGGGGAAAAAAGAGCGCCCTCTCCTGTCAGCCCACCGCTCACCGCCCGCCGCGGGCAGGTGGGGCTCCCACCGGCGTGCGCCCGAGATGGCGGCCCACATCTCGGCCCGGTGCGCTGGCGACAGCAGCTGCGCCGGCGCGCCCTCCACGCCCACGATGCCGGCCAGCCGGGCTCCGGCCAGGCCGGAGAACTGCCAGGGGCGGCGGCAAAGCGGCCGGCACCGTGGCGGCGGCAGGGCGGGGGGGGAGAGGGGAGCGAGAGGGGGAGGGGGGGGGACAGGGGGAGAAAGGGGAGAACAATGGGAAAAGGGCGGGGAGGAGGGGGGAGGAGGGGGGAGGAGGGGGGGGGGGCAGGGAAGGGAGCCCGACGGGAGGGAAGGCGGGGGGAGCGGAGGGGAGGGGAGCGCGAGGAGGAGGGGGAGGGGGTCCCAAGAGCAGGGGGGGGGGAGTCGGGCCATGCCCGCGGCAGGGCGCGAGCACTTCCGCTCGGGGGCCTGCCGGGATGGCCCTGGCACCGGGGGGGGGCCTCGTGGGGGCCTCCCGCAGTGCCACTGGTCCGTCTGGGGAAATCTTGGGGGAAGAAACCCAAGGCCCCAGGACGAGCTCGCGGAGAAACACCGCGGCAGGCGTTTGGCCGTTGTCACCTTCCACGGGCCCTCGCTGGGCCCCGGGACCGTCCAAAAAACAACTCGGGAGGGGAAAAAACAATAACAAAAACAAAAAAAACAAAAAACGGGCCACTCGGGAAGGGTCGGGACTTCCTGGGACCGCGCATTCAAAAAAGTAGGATATCGCAGGTCTGGGATGGCAATATGAAAGCCTCTTGGAAGCTGCTACGGGCTGCTTGGGGTAATACGTGAAGGATCTCGGAGCTTCTCCTGAGACGCCCTCTGTGGCTTCGAAGAGCGATTTGGAGGCCAGCCAAAAACAGGGGCTAGCATTCACACTAGAACCAAACAAAATGATAAAGCCACTCATCTTCAGCAAACAAATAGAGTCGCAGCGGCGGCAATCATAAACACTCTCGGAGACATCTTGGGGTCGGCCGTCTAGGAGCCGTTATTCGGCTCAGTGGGTGCCGTTTGACTGCCGTTGAGGCCATCGTGGGACAGAAAGAAGCACTGGATCTGAGACTTGTCCCTCAAACGTGACCAGGTACGACTGCGAAGCGCTGCTTCTTCATGCGTGCGCGAATGCGAACGCACTTGCACAAAGCAATATGGAAACGCATGCAAAGCCGCCGTAAGCCTAAGTATATTTGAAGGTATCGGGGCCTCCTGGGGACCCTCCAGAGCCCTCTGGAGACTCACTTGGAGATGTTTCCGAAAGCATTGGGACCATCATGGGGCATTCTGCGGATCCCTCGGGACGCCTTGCGGCCCTCTTCAGGCATTCATGGCAGTCCTGAAAGCCTCCTCGGGGCTCTTGGGGCCCTCTTGGCTGTCTCTTAGCCATCTCTGGAAAGACACCTTCAGAGACAAAACGCACTTTATCGTTTGGCGACCCTCTCGGCTGCTTCTTGGGGACAGCTTCCGTAGATCCACCAGCCCTTTGAGCGTAGATGGTTTACAAAGAATAATGTTCCAACCCTCTTCTTCCCCTTCGGGGGAGGGGGTACCTCTCCCTACCCCCTCCCTTCGATCTGGAGAGTGACGCCGCGACGCATTAGACCGTTCAAGATTACACAAGGTGGCCCCAAGGGGGCTCCAGATACCTCAAAAAGCTGTTCTAAATGGCACGAGGTAGTCCAATACCATACAAACTATCATCCAACATGCTTCTGTGAGGCCAAAAGTCTGGAAAAGACGGCTTCAAGTGGGCGCAGATCCTCCCAACGATACCCCGCAAAGCCAAATCTCTAACTGAAACCAGAGGTGTTCACATATTTCTGAATTCTCGCTTCGTCTCGTCCAATGGGCCTCTGAGGCCTCAAAATGGCTGCAAGGTCGCCAAAGAGGGCCACACAGAGAACTCGAAAAGGCTCGAATGCGAAACCGAAGGCCCCCAAGAGCGCCGCAAGGGGGCGCTAACAGAGGAGCCCTCCCCTTTTGATGGATGGCCTCCAGAATAAAGAGAGCCCCAAGATGAGTTCCAAGAGCGTCTCGAGACCTCCCGAAGGGCCCAACAGGAGCTCCAGGAAAACTCCACGAGGCCGCCAAGAGGCTCCACGAGGTCTCTCAAGTTCACAATCACGGGCCTTTTCTCTTCACTAAATGCTAATATACGCCCCTCCTCCCGACAACTCCCAAGAGCATCGCTTCTGGATTGGCTAGTGGGGGTACCACGAAACGTCAACAAGTTGTTCTCGTTGGAAATGCGCTATGAATTTAAGCGGGGCCCTCTTTAGCCAGTCGTCGGACCTATTTGGGCTGTGGTCAGCGCTGGGAAAAAATCAGACTACAACAAATACACAATACTTGTACTGTTAAAAATCAGGCCTTGAATGCCTATCTGTGGGGTCTTGTGACTCTGGGTCGTCCCAGTGTGTATCTGAATGCCCCCTGGGATTCTTTTTCGCCATTTGGGTCTTCTGCAGGGCCTTCTGGACCATCTTGGGCCCTTTTTGCGCCCTCTCCACGCATGTTGGAGCCCTTTTGGGAGCCTTCCTAAGACATCTTGAAGGCCGTGCAATTGCATCTTGAAGCCCTAAACATTTCGTTCGTCCTCGGACTCTACCGGGTGCCTCATACGTCTTCCTTGGGCCCTCATGGGCCTTCTTATACCATTGGGGCACTCTGCAAAACTAGCGGCTCTTTGGGGCATTTAGAACTCTTCGACCTCCAGGATATTGGCCCGCAGTAGTGGACCCCATCCGAGGCCTGCAAGAAAGCTTGGGGCGTCTTGAAGCCCAACGCCTCGGGCCACATCTCGTACCTCCTGAACATGTTCCGACAGCACTCTGGGACTTCTCGAGAGCGTCTTGGGGCGCGTGCTGAAAAAACAGGGGGAGCATCCCGCCTGCGGCACGCGGATGCCCTGGCTGGGACCAGGTCCAGACCCCCAGAGGCAAGAAGGAAGACGACCCCATCTGATCTCACGCGAACGAACAGAACGACATGTTCCACAGGATGCGTCTGCCAAAACGAGAACCCAGACGTCGTGTTTTTTTCACGACGTCGACCCCCAGAGATCTGAACCCTTGCCCAGCGTGTTTTGACCGTCCCGAGGCCTGGTAAGGGCCCCCAGAGGCCGAAAACGACGAAAAGCCTCCCGTCGTGATTTTTTCATCACGCGAGGGGATCTGGGAGCTGCATGTTCCGCGCAATGCGTTTGCATCCGAAAACGTGTATGCGCACATTTACTTCTGCTGGTTTCACTCGACTGGAACCGCGCCTCTGCGCCCTCCACGGCAGGCGCCGTCCCCAGCAGGCCGCCACCGAAAGGCCGCCGGGGCGCGCCGAAGGCGGGCCTGGCCGGGCGACGGAAATCGGCGCAGGGCCAGCGCTTGCCCCCTGGGAGGGCAACGGAAGTGGCACGCGTGCCCAAATCTCCGACGAGAGGAGTTCTTCAATCCGGGCGTTTCCCCTTGATTTCGGCCTCCGGTCGGCTACACGTAAGAGTGACCCTGGGTAAGAGTGACCTTGGGTGCGCGGCTTTTTGGGGCCGTGGGGGGGCCAAACACAAGCGCGCAAGACGACACTGCTGCCTCGCGTTCGGCGATATGGGGACCCCAATGGGCCCGCACCAAAGGTCACTCCGGCGAAGGGTCACTCTTACGTGTAGTCGATCCGGGGCCCGCTATGGGGCCCCGGGACCATCATATGTGGATCTGGGGCGCAAAATTATCCCCCCCGGGAAGGGTCGGGAGCTCTGGGGCCGCGGATCAAGATAGGTCGTATCGGAGGATGCCTGGGCGTGGTCGCATGCTGGTTGGGGCAAGACTGCACCGTAATCCCAGACGTTACCCGACACGCAAAGACACACTCACGCCACGCCAGTGCAGACGCTGCCTCCAGCACTCCTCCGCGACGGAGTGGCGGAAAGAAGCGGGTCCTGCGCGAGATGGCACAACGACCTTCCCAGACCCCATCGCGCTGTGAAAAAGACGACGGGAGGTTTTTCGCTATTTTCGGCCTCCAGGGGTCCCTTACTAGGCCTCGGGACCATCAAAAAACGATTCAGGATGGAAAAACAGTCCCAGGGAAGGGGTCCAGGCTCACGTTGGTCAGATCGTACGTAAGGACCACATACCAGAAGTAATTTCGAGCATCCCGCACAGTATCGAAACTGTGTCGAACGAGTATCGCCCCCCAGGGCCCGCCATGTGAAAACCAACCAGTTTCGGTGCTTTCTTGGTGCTCGAAATTCTCTGGCGATCAAGGCTAAAAGATGTTGGAACATCGTAAGTCCAGACCTCTGGGGGTCCACTCTGTGGACGAATCACGACGTCGGGGCTCTGGGTTGCGCAGCGGCTTACGCAGGCCGCCAGAACGGAACGCTACTCTGGAGACGAGGGCGCTCACGCGCGACGCCTGTTGCATCGCTCAACTGTCGCAGCGAGGGGCGAAGGTGCCATCCCGTCAGGGCTGCGATCAGCCTCCACTCCCGCCGAGCCCGCCCGCGTGCGCGGATCCCCCGGACGCGGAGGACGGACGGGAGAAACGCGAGGCCAAGAACGCCCCCGGACCCTCGATGCCTCGATTTCTGACAACGCGGGGTCCCCCGAAGACCCGAGCCTGTCCCCAAGACGAAACTTTCACCCCGCGCCAGTCTTCGACAGTCCCGGGGCCCAGCCGTGTCCTTCCACGACGCGCGCGCGCGCACGCTCCTGCGCACGAGCTCGTGCTCCTGCGCACGCCTCTCGTGCGCATCTCTGGGCCGAGCACGCCTCCCGTGCGCACGAGCACGAGCTCGTGATCGCGCGCACGCCGCTCATGAGCATGTCTGGGCCTGCACGACGCGCGCCGCTCGTGCGCACCCTGCTCGGGGCGCGCCGCCGGGGCCGCCCTTCTGGCCGGCCGCCGGCCTGGGGGCGATGGGCACGCCGAGGGGCCACGCGCATGGCAGGCGGCCCAGCAGCAGGGCCGCGGGCAGCCAGTGGGGTTTCATCATCCGCCCTGCTGCCGGGCCTGGCCCGCGCAGAGCGGGGCGGTCGCGGGCAGTCTACATGGAGGGGGGAGTGCGCTACCGGCTCCTCGAGACGGACGGCCAGAGGCGGTGTTTCCTCATCCTCCTCCTCCTCCTCCTCTTCCTTTTCCTTTTTCTTCTCTCCTCCTCCTCCTCCTCTCCTCTCCTCCTCCTCCTCCTATCCTCATCTCATCCTCATCCTCATCCTCATCCTCATCTCATCCTCTCCTCCTCCTCATCATCATCCTCATCCTCATCCTCATCATCATCAACATCATCATCATCAACATCAACAAACATCAACATCAACAACAAACATCATATCATCATCATCATCATCATCATCATCATCATCATCATCATCATCATCATCATCATCATCATCATCATCATCATCATCATCATCATCATCATCATATCATCATCATCATCATCATCATCATCATCATCATCATCATCATCATCATCATCATCATCATCATCATCATCATCATCATCATCATCATCATCATCATCAGCATCATCATCATCATCATCATCATCATCATATCATCATCATCATCATCATCATCATCATCATCATCATCATCATCATCATTAGTACCATCCTTTTCCTCCTCCTCCTCCTCATCATCATCATCATCATCAGCATCATCATCATTACCACCACCACCATCATCATCATCATCATCATCATCATCATCATCATCATCATCATCTTCAGCACCATCATCATCATCATCATCATCATCATCATCATCAATCGATTGGACAAGACCGATTGGATTGTTCTAGCCCAGGACCACGCCGAGTGGAGGAGAAGTGCGGAGGAATACATTGAGTGGCGTTCCGGGGAATCAGCTTCGCGTGCAGTAGTGTAGTCATTGTGTAGACAGCTGGAGAGTCACTCTCGTTTAGCGTTGCCCGCCGCCGCCTCCTCCTCCTCCTTCTCCTCCTCCTCCTCATCATCATCATCATCATCATCATCATCACCACCACCACCACCATCATCATCATCATCTTCATCATCATCATCATCAGCATCATCATCATCATCCTCTTCCTCATCATCCTCCTCCTCCGCCTCCTCCTCCTCCTACAGAGGACAATAGTGACGATGCCGGCGACATCGTCAGCAGCGATGGGAATTTACGGCAAGTGCGGCAGACAAACGTGGACGGTGACGACGATGAGGAAGAAAGCGATGTCCCCGTCCTCACCCGTCCACTCCCATGTCATCTTTATCACGCTCGCCGAAGGCCTTGCCGCGCAGCCAACTCCCACTGAACGGATCCGATACTCCACACTGGGAGGGGAGTAGCGCGAGGAGCGGACGTCTTTCTTGGCTGACGTTCGGGATGAGTCCGCACGGACCCATGCCCCTGAAACCTTCGAAACCTGAAACCCTAGAACTCCTGGAACCCTAGAAACCCTGAAATCCTAGAAACTCTGACATCCTAGAAACCCTGCAGCCCCAGAAGCCCCAGAAACAATCAAACCCTGCAAACCTTGAAACCCTAAAAAAAAATCTGAAGCCCTAGAAACCCATGGAACCTTAGAAACCCTGAAACCTAAGAAAACCCAAGACCCTAGAAACCCTAAAACACATCACCCTAGAGAAATTCAGAAACCCTAGAAATCTGAATCCCTAGGGGTGTCGGGTCTCGCGTCTCCTCGGGTCTCGGGTCTCCTCGGGTCTCGGCTCTCCTCGGGTCTCGCGTCTCCTCGGATCTCGGAGTCTCCTCGGGTCTCGGGTCTCCTCGGGTCTCGGGTTTCCTCGGGTCTCGGCTCTCCTCGGGTCTCGCGTCTCCTCGGATCTCGGAGTCTCCTCGGGTCTCGGGTCTCCTCGGGTCTCGGGTCTCCTCGGATCCCGGGTCTCCTCGGGTTTCGCGTCTTCTCGGGTCTCGGAGTCTTCTTGGACCTCGCGTCGCCTCTGGTTTCGGATCTCCGCGGGTCTCGGGTCTCCTCGGGTTTCGGGTCTCCTCGGGTCTCGGTTTTCCTCGGGTCTCGGCTCTGCTCGGGTCTTGGTTTCGGGCCTCCTCGGGCCTCGGGCCTCCTCGGGCCTCGGGTTTCCTCTGGTCTCGGGTTGCTCTGTCTCGGGTCTACGCTGCGGGAACGCGTCTGGGGACACGTGGACTGCCCCAGCGGCCCGTGCTGGACTGCCCCAGAAGATGGGAGCCGGCGGTAAGCCGTCAACCAGGTTACCACGGGGACCCTCGTAGAGCTCTTTGGACGGCTAGCGCTGCTTTCTTGAGCATCAGCTTAGAAACTCGGAAATGGATGTTTGTCGGTTTTCCTCTGACGTCGGTTCCGCCAAATGATTAAAAAGTCATTCTGCTGCTACGGACATGATAATTTGACGGGCAGCCGCGGCATACCCACTACGGTGCGAAAGATACTGGTTTTGAAAACGAACGGTCAAATCTCTCAATGTTCGCCCAACGGACCCGAAGTTCCCACATTGTCCCGACGGCCGACGGTTGCTCCAAATGTTCGAGAGCTGTGCTGCAGCTACGGCCCTGAGAATTGCACCATCGAACGCGCCATGATCGACTGCAGGCGACGAAAATCTGGACTCTCCAAACAAATTCTCAAATCTCTCACAATCTTCAAAGATGGGAGCCGGCGGTAAACCGTCAACCTTGGCTATCACCCGGAACTCGTAGAGCTTCCTTGCCATACACATCAAGGGGACGCGGGCGCGGCAATCTCGCATTCCGCGCGCGCGAGGGTGCGGCTTCATGGAGGAGAACGTGGAGGAGAAGAAGGAGTAAGGAGGAGCAGGAGGCTGAGGAAGAGAAGGAGGAGGAGAAGCAGGAGGAGGAGGAGGGGGAAGAGGAAGAGGAGAATGACGAGCAAGAGGGGAAGGGTGGAGGGAGAGAAGGGGGACGATGATGATGAGGAGGACGAAGATGAATAAGGAGAAAGAGAAGCAGGAGGAGGAGAAAGAGGAGGTGAAGCAGATGGAGGAGGAAGGAAGAGGAGGAGGAGAAGGACGGAGAGGAGGCGGAGCAGGAGGAAGAGGAGGGAGTAGCAGAGTACGAATAGTTTTTTGGTTCCAGCTCTGGTAGCAGACCGATCTCAGACATCTAGATATTTGGAACTAGCGCCCCTGATGATGTTCGTCAAATTGCTGTGCCGAACAGCTCTAAACTCATCTGCAGCTCGAGAAAAAATTGTAGAGTACGAACAGCTCTTGGGTTCTAACTCTGGTAGATACTTGAAACTAGCGCTTCTGAGGATTTCCTTTCGCTCGCTGTGCCAAACAGCTCTGTAGCTCATCTGCAGCTCGAGTTACATTAAGAAAGACATCATCATATCTAAAAGAAATAGCAGAGCACGAATAGTTTTCGGGACTCAGCTCTAGTAGCAGACCGAGTTCAGCCATCTAGATACTTGAGACTAGCGCCCCTCAAAAAAATCGAGATGTTTCAGGCCACCTCGCCCCTCAGCGCGCCGTAATTACTCTCTGGCTTCGCCGCTTCGCTCTCAGGGAAGATCCACGAGTCAAACCGACTCCAGGTTGCCACAGTGTCCGCCCGGGCCGGATCGGCCGACTGGGAGCCGGCGGTAAACCGTCAACCTTGGTTACCGCCGGGAACTCGTAGAGCTTCCTTGCGATATACATGAACGAGATGCAGGCACGGCAATCTCGCATTCCGCGTGCGCGAGGGCGCGGTTTCATGAGGACGCGGAGGAGAAGAAGGAGCGAGGTGGACAAGGAAAAGGAGAAGGATAACGAGGAGTGGTAGGAGGAGGAGGAGGAGGAGGAGGAAGAAAAAGGGGAAGGAGGTGGAGGAGGAGGAGCAGCCTATGAATTTAGTACAGGGAATATTTGACTGGCGCCGGCGGTGAACCGTCAACCTGGTCACCGCTGGGAACCTCGTAGAGCTCCTTGCACGCGTAAGAGTGCTCAGAATCGAAGGAGAACTTCGGAGAAGATTTTCTTAAAATCTTTATTTTTGCATTTTTCGATGCCCATATGCGGTCGGTTCCCGGAAGCGAACCGATAGTAAAACTTCCTCGGCAGAGCTGAGCTGCTCTCAGAACAAAGCTTTATACAAATGCTCCGCGTAAAAATCTGCTCTCTCAAAATGAATTGTTGAACTCGCACCGGCGGTGAACCGTCAACCCGGTCACTACCGGGTACCTCGTAGAGCTCCTTGCACACGTAAGAGTGCTCAGAATCGAAAGAGAGAGCTTCTGGAAGAATTTCTCGAAAAAGTGAAAAATTTCGACATGGAGTTGGTTCCCCAAAGTGTTTTGATAGTGGAATTGCGCCTACGGAGCTCATATTAAGACGCAGAGGCCCTCATAGTCGTCTACAGGTGTGAAAAATCTAGTTCCTCAAAATGAATTGTCAAATATCTTTCAAAGCTTAGCAAAACCGACCAAAAGTTGTCACACTGTCCCTTCTGGTCGGGTCGACCAACTGGGAGCCGGCGGTAAACCGTCAACCAGGCTACCGCCGGGGGCCTCGTAGAGCTCTTTTCTCGCCCGGCGCTGCTCGGAACACATGGAAGGAGCTTCATCAAGCATGAGCTGAAAAACTCGAATAAACAAGCTTCTTTGTGTTTCATCCAAAATCGGTTCCTTCAAGTGTTTTGATACTAATACTGCAGCTACGGCCCTGAGAATTTCACTGGCAGACGCAGCATGAGCCCACTACAGGTGCAAAAATACCGATTCTTCGAACGAATGTTCAAATATCTCATAATTTTCGCCCAACCGGTCCAAAGGTCACACATTGCCCGTCGGGACCGGGTCGGCCACTTTGTAGCGTCCAAAACCCGGAGAGCATAGAGGCATCCTGGCGAGATCTGGGAAGCTCTCCTGAAGCGCTTCTCAAGCGCTGCCAGGCACGCTTCCACGCGTGCCTGCATACGTGCAGGCACTCGTGGACGCGTGCCGGAACGGCTTCCGGACCCGCTGCCGGGACAAACAACCTTCTGCGACGATTCTGGAGCGGCGAAGATGGGCTGCTGGCAGGCACCACCACCGTCCGGCTTCCAATCTAAAAACCTATAGCTTTCAGAAAGCTCTCCGGGTAACTAGCTGCATCCCGCGCCGGAA